AAATATGTAAACACATACCTAGTGAATCAACACCAGTGAGCAAAATATGCAAGTGATGTAATGTGGTGATTGAAGATGTGAGATTTCTTTTCGCAATGTCGAGTTGCTTGATATCTCTCGTCATTTCTCGCACAATCTAAAATCCTTGAAGTGCGTTCATACTTTTCATCAGCTTTTGCGCGACTAGGGAAGTATATGTATCGATCTAGCGTTTAGAGTGTACGGCAGCGTTTCCAGCGACTAGGAGTGGTGTTTAGAGAGAATCTGGAAGCAGGAAGCTAACAGACTATGCTAAATCGCTACGTGTACTTCCCAGTCGCTCAAAACGATGCTGTACGCTCACAACGCTGACAACTATAATATCCAAAGTTGGCAAGGTGGGTTTAGCAGAGCGAACATAATTGCGTGGCCGCCTGCCCCCACTCATCCTCGGGCTAAGTCAGCGCTTCAAAAAGAGTGCTAAACAAGCGAAATCAGAAACTAATCGCGAGCAGGAGATCGCAGCTCTTCCAAGGGAGTACGCTCGATTGAAGAATGGCTTCAGAAATTGAGTCGTTCGAGGAAGTGAACACTAAGCTAGCACGACAGATTCGGTCACACCCTTGCAAGAAAAAAGGAAGGCGGGAAATCAGCTGAAGTGTTGGCACGGGAAAAGTAAGGCCGCGTTCATATTCAGCGAGCAGATTCGGCGATTTGAGAGTGGGTGTCGAGCAAAGTATAGGTATTGATTTGCGACTGCTGAGACTGCGCGACCGGAGACTCGGGAGACTCAGCGTTTTCGGCGACTGTACATCAAAGGAGTGAATGGGTATCTATCTCCGCTGGTCGCTCGCAATTGCAGAGATCCGGCGATTCGGGAGATTGAGCGAGCCGGCGATTCGAGAGACTCAGCGACCCGCACGCGCTAGATTTATACCTATATGTGCCCCCTCGCAAAATCTCTCAAATTCAGTCGCCGCGAGTATACGAACGCAGCTTAAAATACTTTGTATAGCGGTGATGAGGGTCAGACAAAAAATGCCACGAATGCACAGATGCGCACACCACGTGAAAAAAATAAAGTCGCAACTGAAGAGAGGCAAGTCGGGTCTTGAAAAAAAATTAAGAAAAACCATATTCAACAACATTACCTCATCCGATGACCTAGTTTTCCCTCGTATACTATCAATTCGACGCTCCAACTCTGACATTGCTTTTTGGGCCTGAACTTCAGAGATATAACAAGGGTCTTATGTAAAGAGCTAAAGCTATCACAACAGCTGTGAAACAAGCAGAATCTAAAGGAGACCAAATAGCAAAAGTTTACCTCCTGCAGAGCAGCTTCGCCTTGGGCCCCAACCTCGTCATGAGATTCCACCAATGCTGCCAGCTCCACGTCCAGATCGTGGATTTCAGATTCCACAGCAGCTGAAAAAGGTATACTGGCCACTTCCAACTGGATTCTGGCAATATATAAATTTAGAATAAGATTATGTACCTATGACGGTATCCAGCTGGGCTAGCGATTGCTCAGTGGGAAAAAGTTCATTGATCTGCGCCGTTAGTTCCTGGTCAGGACGGCAAGAACTCCGAATGGCACATTTCTTAAGATATACAGCCTTTTCGTTTGCTTTACTCACAGAAAGAAATTCACTACAAAGTTAGAACTTAGGTGAACCCAACACGAATAATTAGGAGTGCGTTCATACTTTGCATCGGCGTTTTGAGCGTGCGGTGGCGTTTGAGCAACTGCAAAAGCATAAATGTAGACCTAGCGTAGTCTGTCAGTCTACTGTTCAACGCTGGTGTACCCTGCAATCGTTCAAAAAGCTGGTGGAAAGTTTAAACACACTCTAAAGCTGCGTTCATGCCTTGCGAAACGAGAGAGTCAGCGTTTTGGGAGAATGCACGGAAAGGACTTCACAAGTGTCGATATGGCGTTTGAGCGAAAAGGATAGGGCATTGATCAGCACCCAGAACGCTGCCTCCCCGAAAAAAGTGTTCATACTTTGCGGCAGCGTTTTGAGCGTCCGTCAGCGTCTTAAGCGTTTTGACTGACTCGCACAGTATCGGTATCAATCCAGCATTTTCAGCAGCCGCCCGATTTGTTTTAACCGCCCAGCGTTTTGAGCGGCAATCAACTCCTATG